AGAATAGAAAATAATAAAATAATAATGATGAAAATAATTTAAAAAAATAATGTGTGTGTGTGTGTGTGTGTGTATATATATATATATATATATATATATATATATATTTAGTTGGATAGATGTGAGTTTGTGACCCTGGGTTTCAAACTCACATCTATCCAACCAAATATGTTAGCTCTATCTCTGATATTGAGCGCTTTCTAATAAGTACCATATATATAATATATAAATAATTATACATATATATATATTTATTTATATTTATATTCACTTTATATATATATATATATATATATATATATATATATATATATATATATATATCTATCTTTTTAATTTAAAGAAAAACAGATGTGTGTGTATATATATTTATATATAATAGCAGGTCACTCATATTTGAGGATACCTGTCTACTAGGGCGGCTAGCCAATCCCTATTGTAGACTCTTGCTCAGGCACATTTGTGTTCAATACACACACAGTTCACATTTTCTTTAATAAGATTTCTCAAATATTCAGGCTAGTAGATGAAAATAAATAAATATAATATTTAAGTAAATGGAGCATCTACTCAAATATGAGTATCCACTAAAAATAATGTTTAAAGTAATATATATATATATATATATATATATATATATAAATTAAAGAAGTGAACATTTTCACAACACTAACAAAGAATTTATTCTATAATATAAAAAAACACAATGTGACTTTATGAGTTGGTCATGCAACCTGATCATACTTAGTTACTGACGAGATGTCCCATTGTTGAAAAAAATTAAATGCATTACCATCACCTGTGCTCACGTTCATTTTTTGGTCTTCATAAAGATGCACCAATGAAAGCAAATGTGTGCAATTTTTCTACATGGAGAAATTCTGTGACACCCTTCTTTTTTTGTTTTTCATGCACTCTCATGTTAGATGACATTTTACCAGATTGCCATCAAACAAAAACAAGAAAAATATTGGTTATTAGTGGGAAGGTTCAGTCTCTACTAACATACTACCTTTGGCATCATGGGTCAACTTAACAAAATAGGAGGCATCATTTTCAGTGTGAACCTCATGTATTTGTGTATAAAAACTGAAATGCCAATAGCCAGCAGTACATTGGCTGGATTTACTCTCCTCCACTTGTAGAAATAAACCCAGCCAGATGATTTATATGTGGATGATGTATCTAATATGTAAAGAAGTAGTGTAGCTGTGGCAGCTATAGGAAGCAGGCAGGTTTTGATACTGTTTTATTGTGGGATGATTGCTGAGGCCAGAAAGAGGAGATACTATATTTATGAGGTAGTAACTTTTCTAATTATTGAGAGAGGTATAGAGTAATATTAGTTGATAGTGAACATATTGAAGTTTCTTCAGACAAGAGAATACAAGATACAAACATTTTTATTGCCTTAGCAAACTAAATAGAATATAAAAGGGGTTAATGTGTGGAGATATGATCTTTTTCGTACATCTGTGTGTGCAACATTTATATGAAAGTTTGTGAAAGACTTATATTTTGAGCAGATTTCTTTGTTGATTTGTGAGAATCATTAGATATGCCTGCTTCTAGTTAATTAAGTGTATCCCATGTACAATGGTGTTCAATGTGATATATGGTTCACTAAATGTTGAAGGGTACCTGAAAAGGGAAACAAAACATGTCCTATCTCTAAGGCATCCTGTGGTTAAAAGAGAGAGAAACTTTTGCATCCTTTTATACACTGTTTTGGCAATTCCAGCTAGTGGTCATTAGCAGAAGTTCTTTGGCAGACAAGTGGAGTAGTACCACAATATCATGTAACCCAGTACTACCAGCAATAAGAAAGGAGATGGGCAGCCTCCAATAATTATCCTTGCATCGTTTCAAACTTGGACAGCGTAGTATAACATGACCTTTTTTATTTGCATAATGGCTGGTAAAAAATGTTAGTTTATATTCGCACAATAGCCTACTTTAAATTAAAATTATCGTAATTTACGTACTCATAACTTTCCAAATTTTTTCGCATATTTATATTTGCCCGGCCGGAACAACAAATGAAACGGTGAACGAAACCCAATCCACGGCCGTAAAAAAAAAAAAAAAATAAAGGTTTATTAAAAATAGCAGAAAAAAAAAAAATGAATAAAATGATCTTTATCACGTACCAGATGCAAAATTAAAATCATTACTTTGAAAGTAGGTTATTATATTTTTCGCCTGATTAATAAGGACTTTACTCTGTACTATTGAGCCTATAAGCATTACTTTTTTTTAGTTTTCCAGTCATTAGTGGCGGTATGTTTTTTTTTTTTTTGTTTTCACCTTGGTTCCGACCTATTGATGTAATTGTAAATTTTGTCAAATATTTACTTTAGGAAAATACTAGTTTACATCTAGCGCATTGATTAATTTGATAATAATAACAATTATATAATTAAATAATTAAGCTTTTAAAGTTGTGCACAATAAAAGTGGGGGATTATTTTTTTTCTTTACTCCAATTATCCGCACGCACGCTTTCGATGTGTAGGGATTTTTTTGTTTATCCACATGTTGAGAAACTAGATTTGGCAACTGGAGCTTTGGTTTTTAAATGCAATAAATAAAAAACTATTCCTTAGGGTCCCAAAGTTGTAATGAAGATTGCAAAGACGTTTCATTTCAATAATTAAGTTTAAGCCTAAATTAAATGGTCCTTTCTTTCTTCTTACAACTTTAGGATCGACCGATGTTGGAAGGGAACAGCGTCAGTTTGAGTTTTAAAATCTTGATACGATTTTGTTTTGAAGTCTCCAAAAAATGTAAAAATGAAATAAAAACTATTGGATTGTCTTTCGTTCTCTCTATGCAAAATAAAATAATTATTTTAAGAGTTTTACTATTGAAAATTAATAAAACGGTTAATAATCACTGCTTTCCCCGTTCCTTTCAGCTTAAGAGGCCTGTGATTGTTTTCGTTTTTTTTTTTAGCATCTCATTCGGAACAAAAAGAATAAAAAAAAATATTTCTTTAAAGTTAATTATGATTATTTAATCAATTAGTTACCGATTAAAGTTTATGAATTAGCAAGTTTTTAATTTCTTTGCAAGAATTGAAAATAAAACCTTTTTTTCTTAGAATCGTTTTTTACACTCATTGTTAAAAGTTTAACTTTAATTAATAATTGGAATATACATTTTAAAATACTTATTTATTTATGAAAGCATTCATTCTCCAATATATATTTTTTTAATTTTCATTTTTTTTTTTTTTTTTGATGTCTGGAAAGAAAATATTTGAAAATGTACATTAAAGATTAAAGAAGAAACAAACCCAAATAAAAATACTATGAGTTTGTTTTTAAACTTTGTTTGCTTTCTTCTACTTAGTCTGGTACAAGGGGACAAAATGTGAGATTTTAGTTAGGATCGAACTCGGTGACCAGTTGTTGACTTGAGGGACTTGCTTGTTGGCTCAATCTGGCCTTTTAAATACTTTTTTTTTTTTTTTTTTTACAACAGGTATTGTTTTTCTTTTGATTTAAAACAAGAAAAAACGAGGATTAGCCCTGAGTGTAAAACCATTTCAGAGTTCGAAACTTTTGATTTTATTTTCTACGCCTCATATTGCAAATATGTTTTTTCTTTAACACCTTTTAAACTTTGAATTTTTAAAAAGATTGAAAAATCATTATGATGCCGTTAAAAAGCAAATATCAAAATACGAAAATTCATATCAAAATTACTAGACTAATATTATTTAATCAGTCATAGAGATGGGGGGAGGAAAACTTATCACATTCTTTAGGTCTTTTTACTCTTAACTTTTAAATGTTTTGTTTTTTTTTTTAAAAAAAAAATAAGCTGGGAAATTTGTTTGGTTTTTCTTTATTTTGAGAATATCTTTATTGTTTGTTGTTTTCTTTATTATTATTATTAACGGTAGTTGAACTACTTTGAATAAAATATGAAAAAAAAAAAAAATTAAGCAAGTCGAAAATAGTTAAAAAGAAAAAAAAACGCAAATCTTTATGAGACAAAGCAAATAATTATCGTATATACGCTTCTTTCTTTAACTCCAATCCACGCATTTATTCCTCTCTCTTTTTTTCTGCTTGCATGTTTTCTTCCTCCCTCTATCTACCTACATATCCCTCCTCATCCTTTTCCTCTCTCTCTCAAGCCGGTTGGTATAACAGTTTTACGCTACAAGATGTGAATGGGGGTTCTTCTACGTACATCCGTCATCAGTTTCGTTTTCAATTTTCATATTATCAATGAAAGAGTGATCACACACAAGCACATCAAGAAAAAAAGAAAGAGAAAAAAGCCAGCAGGATCTACAAGCAACCATTGTAAAGTTAAAAAAAAGACAAATTCGACGGACGAGAAAGGAATGCCCCCTCCCATAAAGAAAAAAAAGGAGGTGGAGACCAGCTTTGCTTTTTAAAAAGGGATGGATACGTTGGACTTGATCGAAAAAATAAGGCGGTAAAAAAAAAAAACAAGTAAAAAACAAAATCCAGCCAACGCACTGTCGATAAGGGGTAGTTGTACACTACAGGTTTTAAATATATTTTTTTATTTTACGTTGTACTGAGAGAAAATAAAAGATCTGAAAATCATGGCACGAAATAGCCATGCCTAATTCACCAGTCTAGAATTTAAAAGGCAGTGAAGAAGACAAACAGGACAGCGAGGGGAATTACTACTAACCTTTTTAGTTCCAGCTGACTCATTATACTAATAGTAGTAGTAGTGTTATTTTTGACATTGCCTGCCCCACTTTTTCGCTGTTTGTAATATTTAATTTAAATAATAATAATAATAATGGAGCTGTCTCTGTGTGTACTTAAAAGAAAAAGTAGTTTACACAGTTATTAAAAAAAACGACACAGTTAAAAAAAAAAGTTAAACGATTTAAACAGTATTTTTTTGGGGGGAGCCGAGTTTGGTAGTTGTTGTTATCGTCGTCAATGGTGTGTCGTGACTCTAACTACCTGAAGTAACTCTGCAGTCTGGATGGGTGAGGAGATATGGATGGAGAAGGGCCAGGAGAATCAGCTGGCCACCCGCCGCCACCACCGCCACCGCCGCCGGTACCCGAACATGAGGTGGGTGGAGTACACAACCTGGAGATGGAAGAGGGTAGGTTCCCCCCTCCTCCTCCTGCATCAGCAGCAGGTGAATAACCTTTAAACTTGTTTAATTTTTTTTTTTTTTTTTTTTTTACTTGGGGGGGGCATGATTATTGGTCTCATTATCAGCAACTTTAATATGCCCTTTGACAGCAGTTATTTTTTTAGTAGAAAAAAAAAACAATATTGTCTCTTGATGTTTGAACTTCTGTCATTTTTTTGCAATAAATTTAATTTAAATATGGTCATCCTATCCCCCACCAAATTAAAATAGAAACCAAACTACTGAAGGAATGGTTGTGGTTTTGCAAGCAGAAACTTTGATATTGCTCTTTCTTGTATGCAGTGAATTTACACAGAAAAATCTACACATTGTATGAGATCTTAAAGAAGAAATTAATAAGAAGTTTGCGTTTTAGAGAACAGTTTTTTTAAATGTTTGCAACCATTGACTTTTAGTTTTAAATAAACAATCTCAATTCTCAGATCTTTACTTCATCAAAGAACTTTGAATTTTCTCAAAAATCACACACATTGCTTTCTTTAATGACAATGAGTATGTCCGAATGAAAAAGAAATACTTTTTTTTTTCTTTCATACCATATGACTATTCAACTAGCAAACAAAACTATTGGGGAGGGATTTTTTTAAGATTTCTGTCACTGAGTGCAGTTAATTGGGATTTTTTTTCAAGTCTTGTCGATTGTCTTTCTATAACTTTTAAAAAATACATGAAAAATTTAACTTTTAAATTGTACTCCAAAATTCTCAACTAAAATGTTTCGTCGGTATTTGGCACATTTATTATCCATTTTGAGACACGAAAAATTTAGTGAAAACTAAAAAAACACGACACTACATTTAAAAAAAATCCCGACTTTTAGGCTTTTTTAATGTGACACTGGCAAAGACAGAAAAAGAAGAAAATGCTTTTTATTTTTGACAAACTAATTGAATTATATCATTAAATGCATTTCTTGAGGAATAAGTCACAATTCAATAGTGTTTTAGTTTGGAACACTAGTACTTTTGTACAGTAATTACAACTACAGACATTTAACTACAATACATCCATGTGAGTTACTAAGAGATGGGAGATTTAAGTAAGTGTACTATCGTTGAGAATATATATATATATAACGTTGGCACTTAATCTTATAAGATTCTTTCTACTCTTGAACTTAAATCAAGTAATCCTCTCTAGAGCAACATCTTTACTAGTTGAGCCAATACCCCAACCTGTTTTCTTTTCTTTCCATTGCAATTACTACTACTTTGATTGTTAGTCGCCAATTCACCTCCTACTCCCATCACATTTACTCCTACTCTCACTATGTGTCTCCTTTTAAAAACTATTAAAAGCTAAAAAGCATATTGCTCACCTTTTAAATGCCTTACATAAGAAGTGTTTAACTGTTTTTGAGATGAAATCCCGTTTTATTTTACTGTACCAATTTAGAGACTATGCTGTTCAATTCGAAATTTATAAATTTGTTGCAATGTTTAATAAATGTTTTTAATGTCCTACCTAAAATCAGAATTTTAAGATCTTTCCCAATTAATTGCCAACCATTGTGTTCGAAATCTTCAACTTGCCATTTTTTTTTTTTTTTGAGAAGGGGTTGCGCTGTAAAGATTAAAAATAGTAGTACAAAAATAGACATAAATTTAAACGAAATTTAATTGTAAAAAGAAAGAAGTTAAAAAGAAAAGATAAAGAAAATGCGAAAATAAGAAATTGTTTCAGCAGCACAACCACGGGCCATGCTTCATTTTTCAATAAAATGTCCATACTATACTTAAAATGATTATTAACGTCGATAATTTTATCACGTGATTATTGAAATCTTTAAGCAAAACAGATTTTCTACAGGTTTTCAAAATTTTATCTTGAGAAAATAATGTATTAATTCCAGTGTTCAATTGAAGTAGCAATATGAGGCTATATAAAAAAAAAATCTTTGCGAAACAATCTCACCCGCAATGTTTACACTAAAAAGTCAAATCTACACTAAATTTAAGAAATTAACTCCTTCAATAAATATTGTTTGTAGTCATTTAAAAAGCAAGGTGCTCGTAATTGTGAACATTTTTTTTTAATTAAATTGCCGATAGCAATTTATTTAGTCTTATTTATAACTTTTAGAATAAAAAGCATGTGTTGTAATTTAAATAAAAATGACATCTCCACTAATATTATTACCGATTGTTCCATGGCGACCTAATTTTCGTGACAATGTGGTTTTTACTTACACAGCTGTTTGATACGGAGATACCTACGTGTACTCTAGTCTACACGTAAATACATTGTGTACGGTAAACGTCACAACCTTACATACACCTTATAATTTATTAGTAAGATTTTTACTTCGATAAAAAAAAACTTATGCAATTATTAATTAATTCTTCATCTGTAATGGAATTTTTTTTAACTAGACAATGTTGTCAAATATGCATAGTGACTCAACAATTCAACATGCATGTGGAGATTTTGAAGACTTTTTTTTGGGGGGGGGTACTGGATTTTTTTAACATAAACTGCTTAATATTCGCAAAATTTATTTCCATTAAATAAAAGAATATAAATCATATTCTTGGTTTTATATATATCTATATATATATATATATATATATTAATTTATGAAGTAAGTGAAGTCCTAGTTAGCTCACGCGGCAAATATAACTTCGTACTTTTTTTTACTGAATTATAGTTTTGTCTTTTTTAAGATCTTTTTAAATATGTTTTTAGACTTTTTAGTGTACAATTTGGTTTTTCATCTTAAACACACACAATAATTTAAAAAAAATAGTAACAAAAATGATCTTAACTATAAGGTTGGTAGCCAGTCAATTTTTTTAAATTCGAAACTAACATGTGTAAAAAAAAAAAAAAAAATGTCGGGCTAAAATGATTGTTTTCTATATTTTTAAAATTAGTTTATATACGGATAAACTGTTTGAATTTCAATACACCAGAAAGGATTTGGGAAATTATTTCAAATATTTCTATTTCAATGGTTTAAATTAAATAATTTTATATTTCATTTTTGCTATTCGAGTAAAAACTTTTTTTTTAAAAGAAGAATAATCTAGGAGTGCAAACATAATTTAAATTTATTTTTTACGCTGTTAAATTTAAAATAAAATCACAAGTACTCTCTGTGCTTCTTTCTTTGCTAGTTTTTCTCACCAAAAGACTTATTGAAATAAATTCATACCCTATGGCAATTTATTTGATAATGTTCTAGGCAAATATCGCAAATTAATGATTAAGAGAAAGGTAGAATATAAAAAAGGGGATGAATAGCACTATTTATGATTTGTTTCCATTTTTAATTTCTGTGTTAAATGACCATGAGTCAAAAAACAAAATATTATTGTGGATACCCATGTTTGAGTAGATGCCTTGCTGTTTTTTTTTGTTTGTTTTTTTAATAGTGTGAATTTACGTCTACCAGCCTGCACATTCGAAAGACTTAATAAAGAATTAGCACATTTTATTTATTTTCTCGAACGCGCGTAGACCAGTAGAGACATTTTTACACTGTTTCAAAATACAAACAAAAAAACCAAGCGTCAACCCAATAAACATGGGTATGATGCACAAATATTTGGAGTAGTAGGAAATAAATTGGTCAAAAGCTGAGTGACTTCAGATCTTACTTGAATTCTAGATATGAATGGTTTTATAAAATCTTCACTAAACTAAACACTAACATACACAACCGATAGTTTCTCACATTTTTTTTCAATTTAATATACAAAGTAAAGTTGTAAATTTCCCCTTTTGATAAAACATAAACATTACATACACAGTTTGATTTTATTTGGTTTTTTTAATTGTCCATATTTATTAAAAATAATTTTATTAAATTTTCTTAGAGTTTTAAAAAAATTGCATGCCTTTTCCATTAAAAATATTTTAGAGTTTACAAATGGAATATATTGTCAGTAATCTATGAATTCTCCAGATGAGTGTGTCCTTGTATCAAAAATTAAAAAAATGTATTAAATTAGGTTATTGCTTCACCTAATTCTTAGAACAATGACATTTATTTGTTTGCTATTCTTAATTTATTTTCATTTTATCTTAACCACACGTGTATAAGTGTTCGTCACCACTCAACCAGATATGGTGACTAAATCAATAAACTGGTTATCATTATGAATTGGTTTAATGCTTTGTAGATATGAATTGTGAATTTAGAGATATTTTAAAGTTTTTCCAGTAACTAAAAATTAGACTTTATTGAGAGCCACTATCAGTGATGAAATATAAAAATTGGTTTGTAAAAGGCCCCACACTCAAGCGTTTAGACTTTAGAACTAATAATTTAATCAGAGGTCTTCCTATATCAGGGACATATAATTCTTCTTTATATCCTTAGGATGCAATTAATGTTAAAAGGATATTTCATATGGCTGTCTTCTTGAATTTTGTAAGCATGAGCTTTACCAACACTTTATGCTCTTTGCAGGAAGCAAGTAGACTTTAAATATTCAAAATTCTATTCTGATGATTTTAATTTCTGTTTTTGAAATATTCATAAGCAAGATGGTTTATAATGAAATGAAGATGTTTTCTCTTAGTTGCATATATTCCTGTTGATCAGAATAAGATCTTTTTCTTGGAAGATGTTTCAGTGGGTCTATGATTTTAATGAGGAGAAAACTTAAATTTTCCAAAGCTTTTTTTTTTTTTTTTTTTTTTCTCGTTTCTCATGCTTTTGGGAGAAAATCTTGCCACTGATGTAATTCCGCTAACATAGATGTCAATAAATGATGATGAAATTATTTATGTATGGATGGCCATATCATCTGGAGATAAAAACAATTTAGCCTCAGATCAGTGTACTATCTGTGAAGTGTTATACACACACACATGGATGCACATAGTATTTTATATATGTGAATCTAAGTCTCCAAAACAAAAACTATCACTATGTTTGAAAAATTATTAACTGACCATTAGCATCCCCATTTCTCTGACCTATAATATGAATGAATTTTATTCCTTTTTAAAATTTTGTAAAATTAAGACAATAA